TCACCACTTCACATTTGTATGTATCTGCCACACTTCACATTTGTGAACATCTATCACACTTCACATTTACATATTTATTTATCTACCACACTTCACTTTTTTTTCCTCATACCAGATTGACCTGGGCGACTCATCCTGCTATGGGGTGCAACACTTCTATGAACTCTCGAAGGTCAGCAGACGACAATGAGGTTAACGACTACATGACCTCAGATGAGATACTCATTGTGCGGGAAAGTTGGGCCATCGTTGCACTGGACCTCCCTGCCACAGGGCTCCATATATTCACCAGGTTTGTTACTGTTAGCGCTGCATGTTTCTCACTTACTTGTTTACTAGTCCTAATCGACATCCTTGCACATTGGCCCGTCCCATTCGTGTTCCGTCCTTCCACGCAGCAGCTATCTCCCTGATACGTACTCAACGCAACCAGAAGGATTTTGACTGGCATATCTTCTTTATATCCCCTCTAAGAGGCTCGACATGCTTGCCCTTGTTTCCGGGTTGTATTTTAGCAGTTTTTTGTTTTGTTTTTGGAAAATTAACTTGAACACTATTTTTCATGTTACATGTATTAAGTTTTCTCTTTCCATGTGTACTAACTGTATTACTTATTCGAATTTCAGATATACTTCATTATCTGTGCTTTCATATTTAATATTTTATATTCATTTTCTTTAATTATTTTGTCTAGTTAGTTGTACTCCATGTCAACACACTATATTGTTTTTCATGAGTAATATACCATGATCCAAATATTCAATTACTATACACATCCGTATATTGACTGTTTTATATATATATATATATATATATATATATATATATATATATATATATATATATATATATACATATATATATATAATAGAAAATTGAATATTGTCTGTCCAAAAGCACAGTGAAGATCAAAATATGTTCTTGAATTTAAAGAAAACGAAAATAATGTCCACAGATAAAACTGACTGTCACCCAAAAATAACAATAAATAATGAAGAAATTGAAAATGTCACAAACTTTGAATATCTAGGCTCTATAATAAACAACAATGGAGACTGTTCGACAGAAATTTCAAGGAGGATGGCCTTAGCAATGCAAAGAATGAACAGCCTCAAAAGTCTAGGTTAAGCACCAGCAAGGAGATAAAAATTAGAATTTTGAGAGCCTGAATCTTCCCTGTGGCTACATGCGGATGTGAGTCGTGGACTATCTCTCAGTCCTAAAGAACGAGAATAGGGGCTTTTGAGCTGAAATGCTATAGAAAGATTCTCAGAATATCTTGGACAAAGAAGATGAGAAATATTGACATCTTAGAAGATCTGAACATCAAGGAAGATTAGCTAATAAACAGCATCCTTTCTCGAAAACTGAAATATTTTGGTCATATCAAAAGCCACGACAGATTGAAAAAAATTATAGCAGAAGGCATGGTACCAGGAAGGAGGGACAGGGGGGGGGGGGAGCGACCGACACGAAGATGGGCACAGGATGTAAGTGACTCTTTGAGTGTGAAAGTGCATGAAGTGGGAGAACTGGCGAGAGAACGAGTTTCTTTCAAGCAGACTGTGATGAGAGCGACGTTCTGCAAAGAACCTGCTACATTATATATATATATATATATATATATAGTGTATACTATAAACTCTATTGTATAAACTCAATATAGTATATTAGTTACCAGGATAACTGCAAGGTAACGAGCATTTCCTCCATACCCATCTTCTACATTCTGGGTATATGGTAGACAAGGATGATGCATTTCGAATTATTTAAAATTTAGCCAGCCGTAGATTACTGAGATATGTGGAAGCGTCCGCTATTAGCCGGTTTAGTCCAGAACTATGCAGACAGAATGAAATGCTCCTCACCTTGCGGTTACCCTGGTGAAACAGACAGTGTGTGAATGTAGTCGATTGTGTGTTTCAGCTCGAAGGATTCAATTATTTGCTTCATTTGAATCGATTGTTAGTATGCACCCGACGAGATACAACGAAATATGACAGGCAATAAATTGTGCAGTCTGTTGTTTGTGTCTTTTTTGTAAAGAAATATGTGGATTTGAACCCAAGACCATCGCTCCAAGGTACTGCAACACTTAATACTGCTGAAATATGTAACTTTATAATATATTCTGCTGTTTATGAAGCAATTTTTTACAGATCTTGTAAAATTTCAGTATTGACTTTTTTTTTTAATCCTATGAATTTCAACAATTTTTTCGTATTATTTAGGATCTAAAGATCACGGATTTCCCACTTTAGTTATTGATGCGTGTTGAAAACTCCCATTTGTTTCTCAGCCAACATATAGGATTGCTTTTCCTTATTATACGTTTGTGTCTTGCCTCCAAAAATGTACAAGTTCTCAAAATGATTCGTTTATTTTCTGGTTGTGTACAACTGTCATTTACTGCTCTTTTTTAAGTTATGTAGATACCATGTATTAGGCACCCATCTGAACTTGAAATACATCTCCACCTCCACCCTCATCCTCCAAGCACGCTTGCGAGCGGGCGTGCGCGCGCGCGCACACACACATTAGTAGTAGTAGTAGAGTTTTACCCTACTAGGACATCACACAAGCGATAAACACCAGATGACACAAAGTGCCATCATGTCGATGAGGATCACCCGTGGAGAGATCCCAGAAACCGCGTTCAGCCATTAGACCATATTTATGGTCGGGCTATATTGCGGCTCCTGACAAGAGCAAGGGTAGGGCTTCAAATAACGAAACATTGCATCCGTCTCACAAGGAGATGACTGGTTTTTACACTTTCAAGTGCAGAAAAATAACATTAAATAACTCACACATGAGACACGAGAGAGAGAGAGAGAGAGAGAGAGAGAGAGAGAGAGAGAGAGAGAGAGAGAGAGAGAGAGAGAGAGAAAGCAAGTGAAAAGAGTGGGGGGGGGGGGGGGGGGCTACATACGTGAAAATTTACAAATAGGTAATGTCCTGCAGAATTTTAGAACGTATTATTATCATTTTTATATTGAATGCCGTTGTTAACTGGATTATGTATTTATCTTGAGGAAATCTAGTTGTGCACATGTGGACCGTATTTTGTTTTTTTAACATCCACATGACACAACAACCAATTATGACCCTTTGATCTCCAGCTAACGCTTGTAATAAATGGTATAATCTGCTTTGGTGAATCAAAATAAAACAGGAAGATATCAGAATGGGATATAATAACATCATCAAAAACAAGTGAGCAGAATTGTAATTTACAATGTAATGAATAAATTTGGACAACCCACTTCTGCATTAAATGTAAATTAAAAAAAAAAAGCTTTTTTGATAACCTTTGTGTTGAACCAGCAATAAGAATTTCATACCATCTATGCCATATAAAGCGAAACTGGTAGCGTTGTGGCTAGATGCTCACCTTACAGCCGAAAGGTGTAGAGTTCAAATCCGCGTCGGTTGGAAAACAAAATATGCCTTTTTTTCATATCGACTTAACCGTTGATAAGTACCAGGTAATATCGCTGGAAGTAAAGGCGGTCGGTGTGCTGGTAACTACATCGCCCATCGAATACGGCTGCCCTATAAAAGTATGGGTCTAGCACTATATGCCCCGTGCGCCTAAGGTATGACAAGCGTCCTTTACTTGCTTATCCCTCACAAAAACGACAATCTGGTAAACCAGTCAGCAGAAGGGAAGTTATGTTATCAAAATCGACGTCTTTGCACATTGAGCAACCCCATGCATGCTCAGTCATCCAATGCAGCAGCCACTCGAAAGTACTTCTACTGAGTGTTCCAGTAAGGAGTTGTTTATAGTATCTCCTGCCTATCTGGAAGACGGCATAGTCGTGCTTCACCAAGCCTAACCCCTCGGTGACGCAGTCGTGTTAGCGTCAAAGATTCGCCTTTATCCCCCAACCTAGTCCGTACAGCGCTGTTAACATCCGCTCTGTCCGTGCTTCTTCCTATTCGCATTAGTGCATTACTTGCCAGCTGGTCAGCTCTTTCATTACCATTCACTCCTGCGTGCCCAGGTGTGTAGATCCATTTGATGGTGGTTAACTGCGACTTTCTAATGGTTTCTACCCATACGGAGCGGAGGCTACCTGTAGCGATTTTCTGAAGCATGTTGAGAGTCTGAAATGATGACTGCATGTGTGGCCGCTTGTTCTGCTACCCAGTACTATATACAGCTCTGAATGTTGAGTGTATAATTAAGAAACAACATCACAGCACTCGGGAAATTCCGAATAAGCGCTACGTCCCCATCTTCAGCAGCGAGCACAGAGTTCCAGTTCCGATGGCACCAGTAACCAGTCTGATTGTAAATCCGTCTCGCCCTTCATTGAGTGCTAAGCGTCGACCTGATTCCCTGGTAACTCCTCACAGCATAATTATCTTCAGACCACGAGGTCTCTATACTACTCTTTGATGTATATGATGTTACTCCCATATTGTTTACTCGTGAATCCCCCAAATATGAAACGTTTAGGAACGGACATTAAATCTTTGAAGTCACGCAGTCTTTTACTCTGCATTATTGATACATAAACATATTTTACAGTTCTGCATAAGACCTGGTACATGATAATGATAGTTACAAAGGTAGGGTAAAAACCAATTTTAACCCCATCGGTGGATCTTGCATGTGGTGGAAATAGAACGGTGCGCTTGCTACTGAAGATGCTGATACTCGATGCTCAGAGGAAAGGAAAGGCGGTCGTATAATCATACTGCTACTGGCACCACTTGTATTGGAATTCTGCGCTATCTGACATGGTACAACCAAATAGTGATTTATTACAAACTAGTATCCAAGAAAGGTGGCTGGATACACACACCACATTAACTTCTTGTAATTTTCCCCTGGTCTCTGGGTAGTAAGATCAGACACCCGTGTGTATTATTAGGCACGTAAAAAATCCCCTGGCAGTTGGAAATTGAAAAGAGTAGCCTAACGGCGCTGCCCGGGCCAAAATTTCGAGTTAAAAATCTACCCAACGTATTTCAGAATCCTCGTAGGTGCTACGGAGTTCGTGTACTGCGCTGAGATTCTTCGGACTCAGTCTTGAGTCAGAAGTAACGGAGTACGAATAGGTTATGACCCTTGTGCCATGATGTTGATCCGTCGTCTAAACGTTAACACCAACTTATCTCCTCAAGACTCCCCTTTTTCACCTCTAGAGAGGGACAATGTATTAAACAGAGACTAAGGACAGCGCACAACAGACTTCGTCAACATGTTCTAACTTTCGGCGTAGGAAACACGGAGACGTGTTCCTGCAGCTTGGCACGAGAAAATGCCGAGCATGTGCT